TCTGGTCAGGAGGATGTTCTTCAACTCTAGCACAAATTTGACTAGGCAACATTTGCAACCGCCTGCCACAGAGAAGAAACTAGATGTTGGTGGGACATGGTGTTTCCAAGTTTGTTTTTACAGGCTTGACCACAAAATGTGGCAGTTGCATCATCAACGAATAATTTAGAAGGAATCACGTGTGCTTATTTTCAGTGGTTAAGAGCTCTGACTCAGACTGTGTGATGTTCGACCTACGTCCCTATCTTCTAAAAGTATCAAATAATGTAGACTCTAGAACTCAACATTCATGCTGGTAAATTATCCTCACTATTGGGCACTGAATATAACACTAGCTTGATACACACTGCCTGTGTGAGGGTCCTGTTGCATATTTCTGCAGGTACAAGTTCGCATCTGTAAGGACTTGTGTTAACGGCACTTGTGGAGCAGTGAACCTTCTACACGTGACTCTGGGCCTGATCCTGACCTGCAGAGCCCAGTTTAACTAGGAGCCTCTGCTGAATGTGCCCATAACACAGCATTTGATTGTGTGCTCGGCTCGTTCCCACACTCCCTCACATGTCCAAGATTATTATGAAAGTGATCTGGTGTATTGTCCTATGTGATTAGAGTGAATAATATGAATGTTGCAAATATGACCTAAAGGGAAAGTATCATGACAACTAAATGAGATTTCTCTGCAATACGAAGACAAAATATTAAAAACAGACTATGATTCAGAGCAGGAATCTAGTCTTTGACCAGTGGATGATTACAACGTGGATTGGTTAGAAGCAAGATTATTGAATTTTGTTTCATAATAGGCTCTAGTAAAGGTCATTGATGTTGGGATTTGTGATGTAAAAGAAAATTAAAGCACATACAATATAAAATTACACCCATTTTAAATATATTTTGACAAAGAAAATACCAGTCTCAGGTCTCAAACTTTTATTCTTGAATCTTCATGGGCTGTGTGTGTGTGTGTGTGTGTGTGTGTGCGTGTGGGCAGCAGGTATGGAACATCACATAAAATTTCTTCTAGGAAGTTAGTGACATTAAATCCAATAATGGAGAAAATTAGAGCAGGTCAGGAGCTCCTGCAGGGCTTTTCTATTTATTTCCCCCATCACCTTATCTGCTCACTGCAGGGCAGAAAGTATGCTGAGGCTCATTTAGCAAAAACAAAAATATAGAAATTGTGTACTCAGCTGTGGCTGTCACACACACCAAGCCAGACACCGAATTTTGTTTAACATGCTAAATAAACACTGTCCTCATACGATTGGAGGCCATCAGAACAAACAGAAGATGCATGAGCTCTGGAGTCTTTCCAAGTGATGTTTTTAGACCAGAAAAAATAATTTTTTGATAATTTGAAGTTTAATATCCTCACATTTCAAACATAGGTAGAGACCAAACTTAAGGCTGTGGACACCTTCTACTGGCTCTCCCGTGGAGATTTGCTCTAACCCCCGGGCACACTTGCTCCTCCACCCTTATTCCCAGTGAGAGAATCTTCCAGGCATTCTTAATCCTACAAGGACTGCCTTGGTTATCTCCTAGTTACCAACTCATAATCATTTTTAAATTTAAAAATGAGACGATATTTGGATCATAATTTTCCCTCAGCAAAGACCTTCTTTACTATAAAGACGCCCTGTTGATTTACGTTAAAGGACGAATTTGATGCAGAAAATAATAGTTAATTTCTTATGCATAGTTAAAAGCACAATATATATGACATAGCACCTTAGAAAAAGATCAGCTCAATGATTTCTACACAATCTGAGAAAGGTGAGCTGCAATTACTTTACCCTGCTTATTTTAATATAGTGTATTTTTATCTTAATAATTAAAAATCATTGAATATGCATTTTCTTTTGGTATTCAAAGTAGTAAAGTTTTATGTATTTCAAATATAAACTATATAAGTAGTAGCTTCTCATTTGTTAATTTTTTTTAAAAAATTAATTAATTAAGAAAAAAGGAACGGGGGAAAAAACAAAAGAAGGGGGGGTTGAGAGGATTCCCCGGAAACAGAGTGGGGAACAGAATAGGCAGATTGATTGAAATAAACTTCTGAGAGGAACAGTAGGCAAGACAGCAGAGATCTGCTGTGCCATGTGGGTCATTTCCCTTGCTCCCCGACGGGGGATTAAACTCATGCTACAGTGGCTTTGGATAGTTTCATAGGGCTGCACCCCAAACCCTTGAGCCACCAGGGAGGCCCAGCTTCCTATTTTTATAACAGCATAGAATGAAGATGAAATCATGAATGAAATGAAGATGTTTCAACTTGCTGTTTTAAAATTTTTGTATAACTTAGTTTTACTCGAATTTCTTAGAATATTGCATTTAAATCATTTCTAATTGAATGCTTTATGACAACCATTGTGTTCTGATTAGGAATGAGGGGTCTGATCACTGCTGAGTTAGATCGCCTGGGCCAGACACCAGCTCCTGGCACTGGGCTGATTATATACATCTGTGTTAACTGGGAACTTAGGCAAATGGATGCTAACAGTACCTTAGGAAATCAGAAGCATTAGTGTAGAAATCCTGGTGAAGTAAACTGAATGTCAGATAAGCACAAATTAAGACAAAAAAAAAGGATATAAGATAAAGTACTAATGATAAATACAACATGTGTGACAAGCATCATAACAGCACAGAACAGCACTACAACAGCATCTTTGACCCAAGCTCTGGCATGGGTTATAGTTCTCACTTCTCAAAATAACTCACTCAGTTACATATAATTATGACTATTTTCAACAAGGTAAATTAAGCCTTGATAATTTAGAGAAAAACCTACTATTAAAATATTTCTTTTTTTTTTTTTTTATAAATTGTATATAGGGTTCATTGTTTAGTGAACTTTTAGTTACCTGGACAATGTTGTGCATCAGTGGAAAATAATTTGCAATTACTGACCAGAAGATATTTCAAAAACACATTGCAGACATTGGACATTTGTGTTATAGAATTGAATGTGTATGAGAACATATTTTCCAGAAATAATGTTTATTCTCTCACCTTAAAGGTGATAACGCCATCATGATTCTATGATTTGACAAAAAATTCACAGTGATGTCACTTTCTTAGGAATGTGAACCTCTTGCAAGACCAAGATAACTGTCCCCACATAGATCTGCACTTCCTCGGGTGACTCTGAACTCCTGCCTGCCCCTACCACTGGTAGGTAGCTCTTTAAACATGATTGAAATAATAGCATTCACCTCTGTTATTGTTATTGTCCTTACCAATGGACACACTTGCATTTAAAATACACTTCAGATTTACCCAAATAAGCTATAGTAATTCTTATTAAATATGTATTGTTTACTACCTGATACAAGAGAAATATTTTGGTTCAGTGTAAATTCATTTCTCTTATTGTAATAATTGTTTGTCAATGGAATGGCTTAAATATATAAAAAAGGAGGGTGCTGAAATATTCAAAGTTTGAGAAGACATATTATGGAGAAATAACTGCCAAATTATCAATCCAGAGAAAATAAAGGTGCAGAGAATCAAACATAGAGCTCCAAGAGAAGACTATTTTCTATGTAGAGAGTACATACTCTTTGAATAGCAAGCATCCAAGGTCTTTGATCCCTTCTCCAGAAATATGATTTAAACACAGATGGACCATTAAGAAGTTTGTATTGAGATGGGACTTGAGAATATCATACAGAATTCAGGATTCCTTGGACTGAAAATAAAGGGATTTAAGGTTATAAAAAAACAAAGATACAGACCCTTCCTGGTGGTGCAGCGGGTTAACGCACAGCACTGCAAGCTAGCTGCAATTACTTCAGTGTGAGTTTGATCCCCAGCTCTGGGGGTGACCACATGGCACAACAGACCTCTCCTGACCTGCCTGCTCACCCCTGAACCTTTGGCCTGTAACCCAGTTCTGTATGTATAAATAAATAAAATCTTAAAAAAAAGAACTAAAACACAAAATGTGCAAGCTTTAAATTGTTTCATTGGTTTGAATTTGTGGGGAAGGAGAAATTTGGTGTCTCAGTGGAAGAAATGGGAGTTCTTTTTTCATAGAAATGGAAATGGTTGTAGTTTGAAACCCATGGCAATGTGGATTTCGGACTATGAGACAATCTGTGAATACAATGTTTTCCATTAACAAATGCCACAAAAATGGCTGGAAGTTACAAAAATTAAGATACAGTATTTAGCACAGTGTAGGAATTCCTGAACATAATCTGATGTAAAAAGGCTTGTATTTTAGGAGGTGATTAGGGTAAGTTACACTCCAATTAACAGTGTGTAAATTATGTAATTAGATAATTATATATAATTAGATTTATTATGCACAACATATATTGTTCATGATATATAACTTGTAATATATTATATATTGTGTATTAATAATATGTGATAAATATTCAAAATTCCTATTAAACATAGAAACAACTGATACAATGGCAGATTTCAGACACAGCTTGTCTCATGTTTGAACTTTCTGCTCAAATTTTCTGACATGTCTTCATTTTCCTTTTCTTTGTCCAATTGCTCCCCAAAAGGATACACTTATCTAATTATTAGTAAAAGCCTAAAATTTGGAAAATCAATGTACAGAATCACATCAAATACTATAATTTCAATAATGCTAGGCAAAAACAAAACTAGAAAGAAGAAAATGAAGGGAGTAATTTATCAAGAATAAGAAATAATTGTCAGTAGAGAAGCTCCCAGTTTACATAGAGCTGTTTACAAAAAGGATCCCAGATGCTTTGCTCTATCTTCATTGTCATCTATATTGTAGTGTTAGTGACATAACCATGATTTTCAATATGTTCATGAAAATAGTGCATCTATTTTAATATCTTGCTCTTTTAGGACATTGAGTTTGAAATGTATTCTGCAAAATATAAAACAAAGAAGAAAATGACATCTATCCCATGTCAGTGGATTTGAAACCAGCGATATAATACACATTTTCAACACAAGCCAAAGGACTGAACTGAGGCATGAAATAATTTTGATCATTGATGGAGTGCACAGGACAAAATTCCTCACTGGGGAACCACACTGCATTGGTGGAATTTATACTGATTGGGTTTTCTGATGTTCCCAACTTTCAAGAATTACTTTTTGGTGTATTTCTGATAATTTATGTCTTTATTCTTATGGGAAACAGCCTCATTATCTTGTTAACTAAGGTTGATACTTCACTGCAGACCCCCATGTATTTCTTCCTTATGAATTTTTCAATGTTGGAAATATGTTATGTGTCTGTTACAGTCCCCAGGTTATTAATAGATCTCTGTAGACAATATGGAAATATTTCCCTGCTGGCTTGTGCTATTCAAATGTTCTTATTTTTGATCTTGGTAGACACTGAGTGTTTTATCCTCACTGCCATGGCTTATGACAGGTATGTGGCCATCTGTAGCCCACTACTCTACCCTGTCATCATGAACGATAGGCTGTGTATTCAGCTGGCAGTTGCCTGCTGGACCACTGCTGTTCCAATGCATACAATGTTCATCTCTGTGCTTTTCTCTTCAACCTTCTGTGGATGTAACCAGTTGAATCACTTTTTTTGTGATGCACCTCCAGTTGTCCAGCTTATTTGTGGGGATGCTTTCAGGGTTAAAATGTTGTTGTATATGATTACTGCCCTTGTCGCTAGTATCCCTTCATTTCTGATAATTGCATCTTATGTGAAAATAGTCTCCGCCATCCTGAAGCTGCCATCAGCCACTGGGAGAGCCAAGGCCTTCTCCACTTGCTGTTCCCACCTCACGGTTGTGACTTTGTTCTTTGGCTCGGGCATCATTGTGTATTTTAAGTCTATGACTGGTCGTTTGACAGGAATTGACAAATTCCTTTCTCTATTTTATACTATCTTGATACCAATGTTAAATCCCATTATCTATTGTCTGAGAAATAAAGATGTTATGGTGGCCTTGGGGAAATTCCTGCAGAAATGGAATGTCCTGTGACTCACAAACATAACATCTTTAAAGTTTTTCCTTCATTTACATCAATTTGTTATTTATTTATTTAATTAAAAATATGATTTTTTCAGGGTGAATAATCTTACCTTTTTTCCCTCTCCTCAAGTAAGTTACCTGTTATTCTTAAGAGAAATACCCAACTCAATATAAAGTTTATAAATATTGTTAACATCTCATGGAGTCATTAAAGTTTGTTGATCCAAGTGTTTTAAATACTATAACATATTATCTATTTAGAATTCTCATCAAAAATAGTTACTATGTAAGGCCTCAACCAATACAGTGTCTGGAAATCAGAGATACATAATTAAATTTGTTGCTCCAAAAGAATTACTAATAGCATAATTGTAACTATTGATTATGCCCCTCCCCCACCCTATTACATTTAAAACATACAAGTGATGTATATCTAAAGGTTTGGAGTCTTATAATCTTATTATAATTAATATCTTCAAAAGTCAAAATTTCCATCTGCTCTTACTTCTGATTCCTCAGTAACTCCTTAAAGAGGAATCACGCATGTGTGCAGGTTCACACTATCGTATTCCAGAATCCAGTCTTTCTCAAGAATGTGACATAACTCCATGTGTTTTCATTGCATTCATTTCAAAAGCTCAGTTACATTTTTCATACAGGTTTTATTTTTTATATTTTTATTTATTTTTGGTGTAAAAGAACTGAAGTGTAGACCAGAGGTCCGCGGGTGGGGTGGGTGGGTGAAAGGATTCACCAGACACAGACTGGGAGCAGAACAGGTGAATCGACTGAGACTCACTGCTGAGGGGACGAGAGGGCGGCCAGGGAAGATGCGCTGCACATGTGGGCCAGCCCCGTGACTGGGGTCAAATTCAGCCTCCAAACTACAGGTTTTATGTGCCCATGGAGAATGCTAAAATGTGGTGGGGAATATGTATGTGAATAATGGAATAAAGAAATACACAGCAAGTCAGGTCGTCCTGCAGGGATTTTCTATTTATTTTCCCCATAGTCTGAGCTGTTCAATCAAGACCAGAAAGTATGCTGAGGCTCGTGTAGCAACAATGAAAATATAGAAAATGTGTAATCGTATGAGGCAGTCACACACAGCAAGTCAGACACCGATTTTTCATTTTCACATTTATACCTTCTCAATATATAAAATTCGAGACATAGTGTGCTATCCTCTTTACCAAGTTATTTTTTTTCTTACATAAATGCTGTAATAATGCTAAGTTCTATCCTCACATTATCAGATGCCATAACAGCAAACAATGATGCATGACCTTTGGAGTCTTTCCAAGTGATATTTTCAGAGCAGAGAAATATATTTTTTAATTAAATGTAGTATCCTCACATTTCATGTTAGCTCTTCACCAAACTTAAGACTGTGAACAACTTCTACACCTGCTAACCCCAGAGACAAGAGGGTGGGGAGCCAGGGATAAGGAGTGGCCATGGGACTAATGATCTCCACTCTTATTCCCAGTGAGAGAACCTTCCAGACATTGCTAATCCAACAAGACCAGCCTTGGTTATTTCCTAGTTACCAACTCATAAACACCTTTGAATTAAAAATGCGACAATATTTGGAGCATGCATTCCCCAGGGTAAAAGAGACACTCATTAGTGCCCTGTTGATTTAAGTAAAGTTATTGTTATTCCTAATTAGAATAACAATTGTTATTTTCTTGCTCTTACTTAAAACCACAAGTTCATATGACATCACACCTCATACTATAAAAAGTGCAGCTCAGTGACTTCTCCAAAATATGGTAAAGGTAATCAGCAATTATTTTATGCTGTTTTTTCTATTATGGTATATTTTTTTATCTCAATACTCAAGATACATTGAAAATATATTTTATTTTGCTATAAAAGTTAACTTGCTATATAGTTTTCTGAACTTCAAATATCCAGCTAAATAATAATCAGCTTTCAAATTTTATATCAGCATAGAATATATAAAATGGAGATGAAATTAACTTGCTCCTGTAAAATTTTATGCATTTGTTTTATTTATTTTTTTCAGAATATTGCATTCAAAATTACTCCCATTGAGTGCTTTATGACAACCACTGAGTTCTGATTAGGAATACGGGGTCTGATCACTGCTGAGTTAGGTCACCTGGGCCAGACACCAGCTTCTGGCACTGGGGCATGCTATTTACATCTCTGATAACTGGGAACTTCGGCAAAATGGGAATGCTAACAGTGCCTTAGGAAATCAGATGCAGTAGTGAGGAAATCCTAATAAAGAGAACTGAATATAAGTCAAGCAAAAATTAAGACCAAAAAAAAGGATATAATATAAAGTATTAATGATAAATACAACATGTATGACAAGCATCCTAACAGCTCAGAACAGAACTACAACTGCATCATTTGACCCAGGTTCTGGCATGGGTTATAGTTCTTACTTCTCAAATTAATGCACTTAGTTGCATATTATTATGACTTTTTATATTCTCAACAAGGGAATTTATGTCTTGATAATTTAGAAAAAATGCCTATATCAAAGTACTTCTCATTTTTATGTAGGTGAATATACATTTCTTTGCTCATTGATTTAGTTTTACTTATCTAGCCAATATTGTACATCAGAGGGACATGATTTACAATGACCCATCAGCAGATATTTCTAAAACATTCACATTGCAAACACTAGACACTTAGGACATAGAACTGAATAAGCATGAGGACCTATTTTTTTTCTGGAAATAATGTTTTATTCTGTTTCTTTAAAGGTGATAATAACAGCTTGATTCTGCACTATCACAGAATCTCAGAGTGATGTCACTTCCTTAGGAATGTGACTCCCCCTGCAAGACCAGGTAACTGTCCCCACATAGATCTGCACTTCTTAGGGTGACATCTAACCTCCTGCTTCTACCACTGGTGTGTGAGCTCTGTGAACATGACTGAAATCACAGGCTTCATCACTGTTATTATCACTGTTATTATTACTATCCTTACCAATGGACATTCTGGTATTTATCAGGAACTTCATATTTATCCACAATAAGCTGTAGTATTTCTTATTGTAATACGTATTGTTTGATTGACTGATACATTTGAAACATTTCGGGTCAGTGAAAACTCATTTCTCTTATTGCTGTAGTTGTTTTTCAAAGGGATAGCTTATATAAACAAATTATAAATATTCAAAGTATGAGAAAACATAATATGAAAAACTACCACCAAGTTATAAATTCAGAGAAAATAAGTGTGCAGAAAAACAAACATGGAGATAAAAGAAAAGACTATGATTTAGTTTATCGAGTATATTCTTTGAAACTTAAATGTCCCAGGTCCTTGAACCCTTGTGTTCAGAAATGTGAATCACACACACAGAGGAGACAGAGACAGTTGTTTTGAGGGTGTGACTTGAGAAACTAAAGAATTCTTTGAGTTGAAAGGTAAGAAATTAGAGTTAGAAGAACTAGGATACAAAATGTACAAAATATTAATTGCTTCATGGGTTTGGTTTGTGGTAAAGGAGGAGCTTGTGTCATAGAGGAAGGAAGGGGAATTGTTTTGCACAGAAATGGAAATGGCTGTTTGAAACCCATGACAATGTAGATTTCTGACTATGTGACAATCTGTAAATAGATCTTTGTTTCTCATGAATAAATGCCACAAAAAAATGAATGTCACAAAATCTTAGGATGTAAGGTTCAGCAGAGTGGGGAAATTACTGAACTGATCTGATGTAAAAATCTTAGAATTTTTCTAAAGGTCAAGATATGTTAGAATTAAAGGCGTAATATAATACGATCTTATTTTTTTTTCTATGTCTTGGAGATTATATGCATATAAGCTTCAAAGCTGCAGTATTTTCCATATTAATACTGGTGGGTGGAAGGTTGGTTGTAGTGGGCCAGGCTTGGGGAGTTAGTGATCACCTTGTCCCTGGGTTGTCTGAGAGTAACAAACAGAAGAAACATCAAAATCAATGTACAAGATCACATAAAGTTACTATAAATTCAATGATGGTAGACAGAAACAAAAGTATAAAAAAATGAAGAGACTAAATTTATCAGGAATGAGAAATATTAGTCAGTAGAGAAACTCCCAGGTTACCTAGAGCTGTTTGTGAAGAGACTCCCAGATGCTTTACTTTATCTTCAGTTGTCATCTATTTTGTAATGTTAGTGACAAAACTATAATTTTCAATATGTTTCTGAAAACAGATTATTTCTTTTAATATTTTGCTCTTTTAGGACATTGAGTTTGGAATGTATTCCACAAAATATAAAGCAAAGAAGAAAATGACATCTATCCCATGTTAATGTATTTGAAACTGTGATAGGATACATCTGATTTTCAACACAAACCAAAGGATGAACTGACTATTCAGGTGTGAAATCATTTCGATCATAGATGGAATGCACAGGACAAAATTCCCCTCAGGGGAACCACACTACACTGATGGAATTCATCCTGATTGGGTTTTCTGATGTTCCCAACCTTCAAGGATTTCTGTTTGGCATATTTCTCTTAATCTATCTCTTTATCCTTATGGGAAATAACCTTATTATCATGGTAATTAAGGTTGATCCTTCACTGCAGACTCCCATGTATTTCTTCCTTACAAATTTTTCATTGTTGGAAATTTTTTATGTGTCAGTTACAGTCCCCAGATTATTACTAGATCTCTGTAGACAATATGGAAATATTTCACTGCTGGCCTGTGCTATTCAAATGTTTTTATTTTTGATCTTGGCAGACACTGAGTGCTTCATCCTCACTGCCATGGCTTATGACAGGTATGTTGCCATTTGCAACCCCTTACTCTACCCTGTCATCATGAACGATAGGCTGTGTATTCAGCTGGCAGCTGTCTGCTGGACCACAGCTATTCCAATACATACAATGTTCATCTCTGTGCTCTTCTCTTCAACGTTCTGTGGATGTAACCAGCTGAATCACTTTTTCTGTGATGCACCTCCGGTTGTCCAGCTTGTTTGTGGGGATGTTTTCAGGATTAAAATGTTGTTGTATATGATTTCTACGTTAGTTGTTAGCATCCCTTCTTTTCTAATAGTTGCATCTTATGTGAAAATAATCTCCACCATCCTGAAGCTGCCATCAGCCACTGGGAGAGCCAAGGCCTTCTCCACTTGTTGTTCCCACCTCACGGTTGTGACTTTATTCTTTGGCTCAGGCATCGTTGTGTATTTCAAATCCATGACCAGTCACTTCACAGGAGTGGACAAATTCCTGTCTCTTTTTTATACTATCTTTATACCAATGTTAAACCCAATTATATATTGTCTGAGAAACAAAGATGTTATGGTGGCCTTGGAGAAATTCCTGCAGAAATGGATTTTCCTGTGACTCAGAAACATAACATTTTTTAAGTTGTTCCTTATTTTACATATTGTCCAATTTTTTTCATCAGTTTTATTAAAAACCTGAATTTTTTCAGAAAGAATAACCTCATAGCCTTTTCTCTCCCAATGTAAATTACCTGTTATTTTTAAGTGCAATTTCCAGCATTGCATATATTGAGTATTAAGTGCAATACTCAATATAAAGTTTAGAAATATTGTAATATCTGATGGAGTCATTCAACTTTGTTAATACCATTGTTTTAAATACCATATACCTTTATCATATATTCTTTCATGAAAATATATTTACCCTAAGTCTTGAACGAATATGTTGCCTGGAAAACAAACATATGTAATTAAATTTGGTGCCCAAAAATGTTTAAAGCACTGTTGTTAACTATTGATTTTTTTCCCAAGTTACATTAAAATCATACAGAGTGATATAGACATAAAGGTTTCAAGTCCTATATCCTTACTAACATTTAACATTTTAAAAAGTTGAAATTCCCATCTGCTCTTACTTCTGATTACTCAGTAATTCCCCAAGTGCCATATGGGTGAACTCCTTGGCTGGGATCAAACTCAGCCACAATATTACACAATTTTTAAAGATTTATTTATTTATGCTTATGGAACTGGGGTACAGGCCAAAGGTGTGGTGGGTGAGAGGATTTACCAGAGACAGAGTGGGGAGCAGAACAGGCAGATTGACAAAGTACATTGCTGAGAGGAGCAGTGGGAGAGATCTCCCATGTCGTGTGGGAGATCGTGATGTTTAAGAACATCATTACAACCCACTCATTTATATTTGATAATGTCTTTGATGGTGCTCAAAGAACAAAGATACATTTTGGAAAAAGTGAATCCTGGCTGGGGATCGAACTCGTGCTGCAGTGGCTTCTGACAGCTTCATAATGTGGCGCTTTAACCCACTGTGCCACCAGGGAGAGCCCTGAATATTACAATTTTTAAGTGTAAATAAAGAATGCATAAATATGACAGTGAATTAGTATTTGAATGATGAAATAAAACAATTATCTGTGGTTGTGAGTTACTTTACCTGACTGTCTTATGATATGGAAATCAAATATTCTAATTTTTTTCTTTAAGCAATTTCATAGGTTTTGCTGAGTAAAATAGCTGTGTACATTTCAAGAAAAATAAATTCCAATTTTAATTAGGCAAGATACATTTTTTAAATTTTATAATAGTTTATTTTTACATATTTTTGTGCATTTTTCCATTTCAGTTGCAATCCCCTTGGGTTTCCGCAAGATACAGTTTTAGTCTTGTGTTTTACATATCATTTTTTCTTCTCCATGATCCACATTCTGTAAGTCTGTCATCACACCCCTGCAGACTCTCATTCTTCACTTAATTTATAAATTTTCTTCTAATACAGAAATCTTCACTCTTATTCTAAAACCATTATTAATGTCACATAGATGATCAGAGATCCCTATGAGGTAATGACATTTACCTCAAAAGTATCTGCATAACTATTTTTGTCATAAAATTCCATGCTAAGCAAGAAAACATGGGAGAATAACCCTTAAAAATTATTTCCAATACAAAAAAAAAAAAATTCACTTTTTCCAAAATGTATCTTTGTTCTTTGAGCACCATCAAAGACATTATCAAATATAAATGAGTGGGTTGTAATGATGTTCTTAAACTAATTTTTTTGTTCTTAAACTGTTTTTGAAAGGATTATTATATTAAAAAATATAGGGGGGGTTAACTTTTTTTTAAAGATTTATTTATTTATTCATAAGAACTGGGGTACAGGCCAGAGGTGCAGGGGTGTGAGAGGCTTCACCAGAGACAGAGTGGGGGACAGAACAGGTAGATCGACGAAGTACACTGCTGAGGGGAGCAGCAGGCAGGTCAGGAGAGGTCTGCCGTGCCATGTGGGTCACCTCTGGGGCGGGGATCGAACTCATGCTGAAGTGGCTTTAGCTTCTTAGTGCTGTGCTTTAACCCGCTGTGCCATCAGGAGAGCCCATATAGGGGGATTTTTAAAACACTGCTGGAAATTTACCTGTAGAGAGCATCCTTCCACTATAAAGACAGAAAATCTTCTAGGAAGCTGGAAAAAATAGTATACATAGACAAGTCTTTACAAGAGTGAGATTATTCAAGAAAATTAAAAAAAAAAATAAGGTAAAGAAAGAAGGATGAGTAGGGGAGACAGGGAATATTGGACCCATGGTTGAGTGGAAGAAGTAGTACATCTCTAACCCCTTTGACTGCAGATTAAATGAAAATATGTAGCTGAATGGATCTTATTGCTTTAATTAAAACAAAAATCTAACATTTAAGCTTTTTATGAAATTGATTTCTTTCTGCAGGTGAGTTTATTCGTCATAACTAAAGAAGATGCCTTATTTGAAACCAGAAAAAGATAAATAACCTACAGAGGTTCACAATGTGCCCATCAGAATAACAAAACAATGAAAAAGTCATCACAGACAATGTAAAAAAGATATAGAACTAGGCCCTCCCTGGTGGCACAGTGTGTTAAAGCACAGTACTAAGAAGCTAAAGCCACTTCAGCATGAGTTCACTCCTGCCCTGGAGGTGACCCCATTGTGCGGCAGACCTCTCGTGACCCATCTGCTGCTCCCCTCAGCACTGAACTTCCTCAGTGGACCTGTTCCACTCCCCAGTCTGAATCTGGTGAATCCTCTCACTGCTCCTGCACCTCTGGCCTGTACTCCAACTCTGTATGCACAAATAAATAAACCTTTAAAAAAAAGAAAAGATGTGGAGTTATGGCAATGTCCTGGAAGCTGTTATATGAATTGTTTTCCCATTTTAGAAAAGAGCTTGCCTTCATCTGGAGAATCCTGCTTCCCAGATGTGCCCAGCAGAATTAAATGTACATCTGGACCAAGGGACATTATCAGTAAACAGCAAATTAAAATGGAAAGATAATTGTGCTGGTTTCACACAAAGGAAAAGGACAGAGTGATTAAAACATACTGTACTTAAAAGAGGAACAAACCAAATTAGATACAGAAAACAAAAAAAGAACCCAATAAAACTGTTAGAGATGATGAACACAGTAACAGAAATAGCAGACAAGACATAACAGGAAATGTTTAAAGAACATGAAGGCAGATAAGCAGAGTCAACTCAAGATATAAAGCAGATTCTGTAACAAGGACACGACTTCAGAAACTGGGGACCTGAAGTAATGGAAACATGCTGACAAAAAGTATTTGAATAATAGTCATCAAATGTATTTTGAAAAGCATTAAACTATAATCCTCCTGACCTAATAACGTCAACAGACATATACACAAATAATAGAGCCAGTAAAATGTATTTAAAAATAATAAAATTCAGTGAAAAAATGAAACAACCAAAGAAGGCATCGCATGATAATGAAACAGATTTGATTAATGTAGATATAAATTTGAAGCTATTTAAGACAAAAAAAATAAAGTGGAGTTACAGTTTCAGAGGACCGGCTAAAAATTAAATAATGTTGGCGCTCCTTGGCGGCACAACGTGTTAGGTTGCAGCACTTCAGGCTGGCCACAGACAATTCGAACTGGCCACAGTTCGATCCCCAGCCCGGAAGTGATCCACATGGCGGGGCAGACCGATCCTGTCTCTGGCTGCTCCCCTCAGCAGTGTACTTCATCAGTCAGCCTGTTCTGTTCCCCACTGTCTCTGGTGAATCCGCTCTCTGCACCTGCCCCTATTGCCTGTATAGTTCAGTATGTATTAAATAGGTGAATACCAATTTTAAAAATAAAAATGATGTTTTTGGTGAAATTATTCAACAAAATATAGGTGAAACTAATCATCTTTTTCATACAAACTAAAAGGAAAAATATATCATCAGCATATTTTCAAACAGAAATACAGGTGGGAAGTTGTGTAAAGAATAAATAAGTCTCAAAAGGAAAATGAGAAAGTTTATAGACAGCTATTTTCATACTTTAAGAAGTTTTTGAGACATTCTTCTGAATCACATAGTATTGTCAGAGTGTTACCATAATACAAATGTAATTGAGAAAGCAATGAAAGGGTGAACTCAACTAAGAAAACTAAAAATAGATGAGGAAGTAAATTAGATAATGTAAAGAAAATATATTTTATCATCTGCTATACACTCTATTATTGTTAATTCTATTCAAAATTAACTATAAAAGTGAATTTCAACAGAAAAAAATATATAGCACTTTATAGAAATTGATAGTCTTGTTCTAAAATTGCATAAAATTGAAAGCATATGAGATTCAAAACATTTTTTTTTTAAGATTTATTTATTTATTCGTACAGAACTAGGGTATAGGCCAGAGATGTGGAGGGTGGGAGGATTCACCAGAGACAGAGTAGGGAGCAGAACAGGCAGATCGATGAAGTACACTGCTGAGGGGAGCAGCAGGCAGGCCAGGAGAGGTCTGCCTTGCCATGTGGATTTCCTCGGGGCAGGCGGGGATCGAATTCATGCAGAAGTGGCTTAAGCTTCTTTGTGCTGTGCTTTTAACTTGCTGCGCCACCAGGGAGGGCCCACAAAACATTTTTTATATAAAAATAAATTTAGAAGAAGGATACTATTTATTCTGAAGACTTACTATAAATTTACTGCAATAAAAACAATGGAAAATTGGTAAAATGATAAATAGATCAACAAACTGTAATAAATAAGAAAGTCAAATCCAAAACAACTACAACAGCTAGATATTTTTAACTTTTTCTTCAAGTAATACTTGAAAATAGTGGATTTTCTCACCCAGGCATCCCCCACCCTCAAAGGGAGATCTTTATTCAAAGAAAGGGCTGAAGAGGACCTGCTTTCCACAGGGAAAGTAGTTTTAGAAAGTCAACTCAGATGATTGTCAAGTAGCAGGACTCTTTAAGAAATTAAATGGATACATGAGAGAAAATATTCCCCATAGAGAACATGGGTACTTCTATTTAAGGACAGTTAATGTGTAAGACTATCAAGAGTATTATAGAATACAGTGAAGCTCTAAAAGGAAAAAAAAAAATTAATGTTTGCAGGCTAAAAAATAAGTACATTAGTATAGTACACATCATGCAAATCCATAAAGGTAAGCTGTACTAGTAATCTTTGACTCTTTATTTAAAAATCTAAGGAACAAGATGCAAAGAGTGCAATAAAAAATAATGTAATACTGAGCTATTTATCTGAAAGTGACCTAACTACTCAAAATAACTCATGTAGATATGAGACTAGAATTGAGATCGGTGAATATTTAATTATATAGGGTAACATATATACATATTTTTTGGGGGAGGTTGGAGAACAAATATAATGAACAAAATTTTATGTGGGAGAATCTTTTTGATTGACTTTGTTCCATCTTTTTGCTTTGGTTATCTGCATGATGAGAGTAAGTAATAATTGGATTTAATCGAAAGTACATTTTATTATACAAAATTAAAAACATAAAGAGGAAATTGTAGTTGATGGTCAGGAAATTTTATGGTAATGGATATATAAATCTTACCTAGAAAAGAAAGAGAATATTTTAAAGTGTAAAGAAAAGGACAATTTCTTGGCTCAGATAAAGAGTAACAGATATCACCTGGTGTATGGGGGTGGGTTTAGAGAGAAACTTACTAAAGAGAATAGCAAGATTAATGTTTATTGTATTTATCACAATGAATAGGATATACATAAAGTAGAACAATAATATTGCATATATTTTCTCTCAGTATGAAATGATTGCTTTATTTGATTCTGACTAAGATAAAATTGGGAGGAATTATTTCCATTTGAATAAGAATAAAATTTTTTTATAGATTTATTTATCATTGCACACAAGAACTGGGGTATAGGCCAGAGGTGCGGTGGTGAGAGGACTCACCAGAGACAGAGTGGGGAACACAACAGGCAGATCAAGTGAAATACATTGCTGAGAGGTCAGTGGGAGAGAAAGGAGAGGTCTGCTGCATCATGTGGGTCATATCCCTGGCCTGAGATTGAATTTGTGTGGTAATGGCTGTGAATAGCTTCATAATGCTGTGCTTTAACCCATTGCGCCATCAGGGAGGGCCCAAGAATAAAAAGAATTTTAAGGAAATAATTTCAAAATGAAAAATGGTAAAGTAAGTCAAATCAACATAGAAAAAAAAATTGCGATTCCTAGACAAACAGGAAAGAAAAAGCCTGTTTCAAAATTTGATTCTTAGTAGAGGTGGAATTTATTATTCTTATATAATTAGAAAGAATATATAAATAACCACACACGTTTCTCATTGTCTTATATAAATAACCACATTTCTCATTGTCTGCAGTATCATTGCATCTAAGAAAATATACAGATTAAGGTTGTATTTCTTGAATTAATTTAAATGTCTATCAGTTTCTGAAGCTTCAAATCTCAATTTCTAGAAAATGAGGAAGATAAGGGTAAATGCAATTTAAGAGATTATAGGAATACATTCCTGCCTCAAGTCCAGATAACAGAAGAAGGACATGTAGTTTCAAAATGTTGATGAATTAACCTTGTTTAATTTACCATATCTGCAGATGGAGAACAAATTAAAAACAGACACTCAAATGTTACCACAGTGATAGAATTTATTCTCTTGGGCTTTTCTGACATTCCTAATGTCCGGTGGATTCTTTTTGGGGTATTTTTAGTTATTTACCTAACTATCCTGACATGCAATAGCATCATCATACTGCTAACCAGCAGTGACCCTGCTCTCCAGACACCCATGTATTTTTTCCTCAGCAATTTTTCCTTTCTAGAAATCTGTTATGTAACAGTCACTATTCCAAGGATGCTCATGGATTTATTGACACAGAAAGGAACCATTTCTTTCTTTGCCTGTGCTACACAAATGTGTTTTGTTCTAATGCTTGGAGGTGCTGAGTGCTTGCTCCTGGCTGTGATGGCCTATGACCGCTACGTGGCCATTTGTAACCCTCTACAATACCCTCTGGTCATGAGCTACAAAGCTTGTGTTCAGCTGGTAACAGCTGCCTGGACCAGTGCTGTTCCAGTTGTAATTGGGCAGACTTGCCAAATCTTCTCTTTGCCATTTTGTGGATCCAACACAATTAATCATTTCTTCTGTGACATCCCCCCAATACTCAAGCTTACTTGTGGGGATACATTTGTGAATGAACTCGCGGTCTACGTAGTTGCAGTGATATTTATCATGGTTCCATTTCTGCTGATTGTCATGTCCTATGGAAAAATCATCTCCAACATACTGAAGTTGTCATCATCCAGTGGCAGGGCTAAAGCCTTCTCCACCTGCTCTTCTCACCTGACTGTCGTAGTCTTATTCTATGGAACGGCCACTATCACTTATTTACAACCCAAACCAAATCAATCTGAAGGAACCGGAAAACTCATCTCTCTTTTCTATACAGTTTTGATCCCAACATTGAATCCTATCATATATACTCTGAGGAACAAAGACATCATGTTGGCACTAAGGAAACTTTTAGCTAAGTTATTAACATGACTTAAAGACTGGCAATTATAGAAAGAATTTCCTAATATATTTGTATGCAGCTGCATCAGAAAAAAACATTTGCTGGTATCATTCTTGTCTTTCAAAATAATGAAGATTAGTAGCATTGTAGAAACCCATATAATGTTAAGGGGCCCTTTTTCATAGGTTGATTTCTTTGTAGTGAAGTCAATTAGGTGTTTTGGTCAAATTAATTGCAAAGTTCTAATTTGGAAATCCAGTTTTCTCTTGCTCTAAACTAGTGAGTGTGTTAAGATTTGTGCCTGAGAAATAGTATTTAACTTAATGTGTCCTATAAACATATTGAGCCATGCTGTTGATAAATTTCCTGATCCTTCAGATATATTTGTTTTCTTCTCTATACCTATGATTGGGTTTAGCCTATAAGAAAATCTATCAGCATCCAGAACTTAGAAGCAGAAGAACCTTACTGTTTTTTGTTTTGTTTTTCTTCTTTGTTTCTTTCTCTTGTTACCCTTTATGTCTTTCAGAAAACAAGTCCTGAGGGTGTTTCCTTCTGTTATCCAACAGTCACTGTTCTCTGGTGTTATCATTTCAATCCCTTGTAGCTCCAAGCTTCACATCAGCAATATCTACTTGATTTTAGAAATTTCTGGAATTCCCACTACACACTATCCAAATCAACATGTAGTATGTTGAATGTTGGCCAAAAAGGCCTTTGCAGATGTAACTAAGGTAAGGATTTTGAAATGAGATGATCTTGCTTTAGCTAGGCACTAAATTCTATGACCAGCTTCTGCATAAGAGAAAGAAAGGCAGAGGAAGTTCAGGAAGCAGATACAGAGACACAGAGAAGATTGAAATGAGAAGATGGACAGGGATAATGCAGACAAGGTTCCAGAAGTCCAAGAACCACCCAAAACTGGAGGATACAAGGAAAGTTTTTCCTCAGAGCCTTGCCAACACTGACTTCGAATTCTGAATTAGAATATATAACATTTACAAGCATTTCTTTAAAAAAAAAAAAAAGGAAAGATCTTTAACCATAGGTCTTTAGTAGAAATGCACAAATTTACAATTTAACAATGGATGTGTTGCAAATAAATGAATATTGTTCACATTGAATGATGACAAATGATGCATATACAGTGGTAATTAGAGTATAGTAGAAACTGCTAAGGTTTCTTGTAAAGTCATGAAATTTCAATCATTCCATTGATCTGTCTATAAATTTATCTTGCAGTGTATTTTCTGATTAATAACTTTTGAACATGATTGATGCAATTTTTGTATTTTTGTTTAGCTATCATATCACTGATATCCATAGAACTGTAAAATCCATTTTAACAACCAAGTTGGAAATGGGCATTAAATAAAAATATGCATACATTTTGATTTTATGCTAAGAAATCAAATTTGAAGAGTAAATCATTTTTTCTAGGGTAGTTTTATAAATCATTTGTTATGCCAAGTATTCACTGGTTTTTATGTTATGTTTTAAATATGTATGAAAGATTCATGTTTCCATCAGAATTACTGTTTCTGTAGAAGGCAATTCTTAGATTGAATAAAAAAAAACAAAAAGAAAGGAGGAAGTTATTGGAATATTTTTAAATATATTTTCTTAGTGATTATAGTAGTGAGGAGAAAATTAGGGAAAACTATGTAAAGTTTTTATTTTTAAAATCTGTCATAAATACAGACATTATACACATAAACCTGTGCACTACACATACACATAAAATATTGAAAAAGTTAAAAAAAATACAATAATGTTCATAATGGATCTTTTGGAATAAACTATTTTATTATTTTCTTTTTTGTTTTAGTGACAGTTAACAGTTTATTGCAATAAACCTGTATTGTTTTTCTACTCAATAAAAAAACAATCAATACAACTGCATTTAATGTACAGGAAAATCAGTAAGATTCTTTGCTTTTGGTATTTGCTCTAACTATAGTTGTATGATTAGCTTTTTTTTTTTCCAATATCCATGCTTATGTAAAAACAGCTATGTATATGCAGAAAATAATTCTTGGGAATCATATATGACCAATAATTAAGGTTTAGTAGAGTCCAAAAGCTTTGTCTGTTTTTATGCTTTAGTGCAGAAGTGAAAAAGTTCTACTCATGTATAGGGACAGGACTATCAAAAGCTATAAATATCAATGACAAAAACAAAATTCTAAGAAAATTTCCAAGCAGTAATTGGAGAACTTCTGAAGCTATTATGTATGGAATGAGGTACAATAGTGGTTGAGAAGATTTTCATTTTCACTGTTACTTTGGTATAATATAGAAATTTGCTTAAAGAGAAGAAATAAATAATAAGGAAAACATATTTTGAATATTAATATTTAATATACTAATTAATCAATTTCTGTTTCTAGAAGAACAAATAATTGTTATGTTCTTAGAGAATGTTGATGACATTTTTGTCTATATAATGCCACTTCTGTACTCCTAAAACTGTGAACATTATCAAAAATTATTTAATCAATGAATGTGATAACTTACAAAAAATGTAGTTGCAGATTTCAGTGATAAAATGTATTTGTGCCTCTGATTTTTTAAACATAATGACAATACACTGTTAATGTTTAATATATGTGCTTTATATTATGTGTATTTTATAATGAAAATAATCTTGATAAATTATATTATTGTGTTATTCTTAGAGCAATTGATTCACAAGCTCAAAAAATGATTTTTTTTTAATTCAATTCTTTATACACACTTTTTTGACGTAGCTCTGTATGTGTGTGTGTGTGTGATTCAGGGGAAGAAGACTGCTTTCCCTTCTAGCCAGCTGTTATGGGTGGAAGAGATCAGCAGTGTATATGGAATTTTTACACAGCTTGAGTTGGGGAAGGAAAAATAAATATATCTATAATTTAAACCTTCATTTGTTGTTTTGAATTCTGACTGTACAAAAATATAGAGCTCATAATCATCGACAAGTTCAAAGTACACATTTCATTAAGAAAAAAATCATTGATTCAGAGCACATATGGAAATATAACTTTATAATCAGAAATAAAATGAAGGAGATCACATCAAACAGGGAAATATTGCCAAAAAGTTCACAGGAGAATTGTTGAACTTTGTTATAAAGAATCTTATATAGCAAGGTACATATATAAGCTTCATCTTTTGTGTGTAAAGCAGATAAAAATAAGATAGAAGACAGAAGGTTGGTAAATACAAAGGTATATAAATGCTAGATGGCAAAGAGATTTAGTTTGTATGTGTGAGAACATACTCATTGATTCTAACTTTTAGATATTTTACACAGCCATTATATTTATGATAATAAAGGTTGTGATATATGTATACAGATAAGTGTGATATTTCTTTGAGGTTCATTATCCTATGACAGCCAAGACTTTGTCCCAATGATGGGTAACTATATAGTGAATACCGTCAGCTTGTTTTCTGGATTAAAAGTACATATAAATAAATAGAACAGCTGGTACATATCCAAATTCTAATAAAAAGAAACAGGATCTTTGTAGGGTTTTTTTTTTTAAGATTTATTTATTCATACAGAACTGGGGTACAGGCCAGAGATGTGGAGGGTGAGAGGATTCACCAGGGACACAGTGAGGAGCAGAACAGGCAAATCAACGAAGTACACTGCTGAGGGGAGCATCGGGCAGGTCAGGAGAGGTCTGCCATGCCACGTGGATCTCCAGGGCAGGCGGGATCGAACTCATGCGGAAGTGGCTTAGGCTTCTTAGTGCAGTGCTTTAACCCGCTGCGCACCAGGGAGGGCCCTGTAGTTTTCTTTTTTTTTTAATGGAATAATACTTAGACAAACGAGGCTTACGAATTTGACAAAGGTTTTTCTTTCTGTCATAAAGAATAACACAAGGTGATAATGGAGAAAACTCAAAGTATGTAATTAACTAGAAAATATTTCTAGACTGAATCTCTGAAAGTCAATTCTGATATCAGCAAGATAAACTAAGAAATGAAATAAATTGACATGATATGGACATATAAAACTTAGTTATGTTCCATGTATATAGTCAATAATAAGCCTCAGAAATCCAGGAAAACAAATCCTGTTTTTTCATGAATATGTTGAGACACCAAAACATTTTAAATATACCAGAGTTTTAAGGAACCAGGGAAAGCTGGAAGCTGTTTTAGAAGAATTTGTAGAGAGCTGGGTAAACATTGTTTAAATTAAAATAATTTCCATGAGCTAAAATGTAGCTTTTATTCTCTGGTAAACTAAATTTATGAAATGTCTCCTCCAACATTCTTGATTTTTCCAACAAAGCTCCTTGGATCTAAGATTATGATTATATGTTCATAAAATTATCGTGTGCTACACACTGGCATTAGATATTATTATTGTTTGTATAGACAGAACTAGACATTATGTCATTGACACAAGTCCTATTAAGCTATTGAGAATGAACAAGTTAGAGTAATTAGAAACTTAAAGTAAATAAGAAGTGAAGATCAGTAATCTAATTTCTGAGTTAACAATGTTTTCATTTTTTCCATGATGTGCTTATCAAATAAGAGAAATAAAGCACTCAATAAATATTGTGATTATGTTTGACAGGATCATCATCACTATAAGAATATATTTAATTTTGATATAAACAAGACACATATCAACTGATTCAACTAAATAATGTAACATTGAACTTTTAGGCTACAAGACCAAATTGCAGCTAACAGAGGGAGAGGAAGTGGGAGAGAAAGTGGGAGAGTTAGTATAGAGAGTCAAAGGCAGCAACTGTGGTGTTGTGAAGGGTAGAATTGCATTTGAGTGGTGAACTTAGTGTAGCAAATGCAGTGTTGATTTATAACTATGCACACCTCCATAATGTTATGCTCCATGAATAAAAATTATTTTAAAAGAAAAATAGAAATGAGGTAGATGACATGTAGAATCACACAAGCATACAAAACAAAGATGATATGACATAATGTTAACTGCTGAGAATTAAGATATAAGCTCTTAAACATTAAAATTTACATTTCTGAATCAAACATCAATATAAAAATGAAAGCACTTATGGAGGTAAATAATTATTGCAAATGATCACACTAGTGGTAACTTCCATAGAGTGAAATGAAGGTATTTCTGTGGTAAAGATAAGTGTATAAATGTGTAATATCTGGTTTTTACGATCATCACACTGTTTTCTTAAGCAGTAATTTTTTCACAGCTGCAATCACATCCTTGTTTCTAAGGCTGTATATCATGGGGTTGAATATCGGGGTCACAACGGTATATAAAAGAGAGAGCATTTTGTCACTTCCTGCAGAATGGTTGGATTTGGGTGTTAAGTATGTGATAGTAACAGAGCCAAAGAATAAAACCACAACTATGACATGAGACGAACAGGTGGAGAAAGCCTTGGACCGACCTGCAGCTGAGGGCAAATTGAGGATGGTGGAGATGATTTTGACATAAGAGCTAAGTATCAGCAGAAAAGGAATCATGACAAATAATACAGCTGCTATAAAGACACACAGCTCATTAACGGACGTATCCCCGCAGGCCACCTTGAACATGGGGGGGATGTCGCAGAAAAAGTGGTTGATTCGGTTAGAATCACAGAAAGGCAGAGAGAACACCTGACTTATTTGTCCCATCTGGACTGGGATGCCAATGAGCCAGGCGCCCACAGCCAACCGGACACACTTCTTATGGCTCATGATCAGAGGATAGTGCAGAGGGTTACAGATGGCCACGTAGCGGTCATAGGCCATCACGACCAGCAGGAAGCACTCGGTGGTCCCCAGCATATGTAAGAAGTATATTTGAGTGGCACACTCCAGCCTTGAAATCCTTCTGTCCTGAGTCCACAGGTTCTTCAGAATCCTAGGGACAGTGACCGACACAAAGCAGATCTCCAAAAAGGAAAAGTTGGCCAGAAAAAAATACATGGGTTTCTGCAGGGCAGTGTCAAGCCTGGTTACTATGATGATGAGGCTATTTCCAATTAAGACAATCATGTAAATGAGGAAGAACAGTGCAAACAGTAACCCTTGGAGATTTGGAAATTCAGAAAATCCCAGGAGTGTGAACTGCATCACCAGCACAGTGGAGACATTGTCTTCTGTTTTCATCTCTTCCCATTTCATCTGTTGGGATGATTTAATCAAAAGTATAGTTTAGCTCAGCTTTCTTAACTGTTTTTAAGTTTATTTATTAGCTATAAACTGAGGATAACATCCTTTCCAAGATTTCCAATTCCCTATGCAAACAATTATAATTTCCCTGTGCCCTGCAAGTATTGTGATGTTTAATGTTCATTATTATTAAATGTGTCTACAAGAACAAAGTCTCATTAGTATTTTTTTTTTTTCTGGTATGTGCTCTATCTCTTTGTTTTGGCTCTACATTACTGATTGAATTTTTGCTCTTTGTCTGAATGTTCAAGAATGCAAAATCTGAGTTTATATTCCATTGCAAAAATGACTTCTGCCTTTTAGCTGACAGTTCATTTTTTCATGTCTTCATTCTGGTTTTCTTTATTATAGTTGAAAATTAATTTTGTTCCTCAAGTATTTGTTTTGTATCATCTAAAATAATTTTAGGAACAGTTAATTTCCAAAGTGATATTTTATTTTTGGTGACATTTGTAAAGTCTTGTTTCACTTTGAAACACTTTGTATAAAGGCTAGTTTAATTAAAAAAAAGAAAATTAATGAGTTGGACGTTAACTATTGATATTATGGTATGTTTTGTAGTCTGTCAATGTAAAGCATAAATGATTTGCAGCAATGATTTTCATTGAGGTTTTGCAGTTGGGATTAAAAATAAAGATACTTTCCAAGAACATGCAGCAGGTAGGTGACAATTCATGTAGCCTTTACATCCAGAAAGCGCTCTACCTAGAAAGTGTGGTCTTCCTGTACCTATCATATGAGAGAGACATCATCAAAAACTGGTCTCTGAGATTCTCCAGAATGACTCACATCCTTACTAATTATTACTCCTCTGCAGACCTCATTTACTCATTCAGGATTTTCCTTAGACACGTGCACACGATCTGTGTTCAAACACCTGAGTGTCTTGGTATATGATTGCCCATTTTTCTTATTAAATTTCAAGTGAGTCAAATGGTGCCTCTCTGGAAGAGCTGGCAAAGCACAAGCATGGATTCCTACCAAAATGATGAGACCTCTCCTCTCTACTCCTCTCCTCTCCTCCTTCTGATATCTCACATGTCTTTTCTCCCTCTATGTCTCCTTTTCTTCCCTCTCTCTCATGTTGTGCAGTAGTATTTGTTAACTAACTTGAAATCTGATGAAGTCTAACTTGTTGCAAAGAAGAAAAATCCTATCACCTTATACAAAGGTGTTTAACGTGGGCAGTGTTCAAGATTTCATATACAAAAATGGCGACACAAATGTTGCAACGTCAGTGCAAGCATACCTGGGGCATCCTGAGGGTATTTTGTGATCAAAAAGGGAGAGTTGGAAATCATTTCTCTTTCCCCAAAGGTAATATTTCACATCCCATGTTGAAGTGCTAGTGGCATTGAAAACTTTTCCTACAGTTATATGATTCACCCATTGAAATTTTGATTGTAGGGGATGTAAAAATGTTGTACCCAAGTCTCCATAGTATTAAAATCTAGTGGCTAGAAGTGACATTCCTGAGAGAAGTTTTTATGTTTATGAGACTATATACAAAAGCCTTACACCAATACACCATCCCACAAATCTTTAACAATTTTTTTCACCTTTTTAATTCAATGCACATTCAGATACTTGGTTGATGACTAAAATTATTTGTAGAATGAATTGGAATGACCTACATCATGTCCCACATTTGAAGAACTAACCAGTAAACGCAGACAATGCTAAGTTCTTTTTTCTCGCTGGTGGATCCATAGTTTTGTAAGCTGTTCTCTCACCCTTCCATTTCCTTTCTACATCCTTCACTAATGTTTAAGAGGAAAAGCACATGTAAAAAAGCAAACTGACACTAAGATAGCATGGAAAAGTAACACATAACTCGCAATCAAGACCCTAGTATTCTACATCAACAGAAATAATTTCTTTTTGGTTTCAAGCTTTAAATTTGTCAAATGGAATACCAGTTCTAAATAGTTTAATGATTTCTCAATAAAAACCCAATTGAAAGATATTTTATAAGTACTCAAATTTTATCTAGATTATACTTACTTTATGAATACAATCTCACTATGGAAAAAAGTTACCCAAATTTTGTAACAAAACAGTTAGTTTCTCCAATTTATGGAAACCCTTGGATTCCTCTATTTGTACAATATACAAAGAAAACCCCACTAAGTGATTCAGTATAATATAGCCACATTTTATTTATTATAAAACTTCATTTTTAACTGATTTTCCCATGGAAATAGTGATTTGCTTTGAGTTGGAATCAATGACACAATCCACCACTGCAATGTATTTCTTCACATCAATTTTATAAAAGAGAACTGAAAATTGGAAAAAAAAATCCATACATTGGTGAAAGCAATTCAGAAACTATTTCCTGTGGAGGAATACAGAGACAAATTTGAAAACAAGCCAATAACTTTTTAGTATGTTCAGATGTATTTATCATAACTCTTAAATCTTTGCAAGAGTATTCCCTTTGACAGATGTAAGTTGCAACCATTTCAACAGATCCCACCACAATCTTACTCCTTAGTTACATAAAATTAACTTTATAGGATGTAAAACCTTAGCTTGATTCATACAATATACTTAAATGCATTCTTAATACGTGGTTTCACCAACTAAATACCAACACTTAGGATTATGATGATGATATTATTATGGCAATCTTTGATATATTTATATTACAAGGTACTTAGATACATTGACAAACTGTATTTTTCTTCCATGTCACAGTAATGAAAGTTGGAATAATACAGAAGTTATCTGAATTAGTGTTCTGAAATTAACCCTGAAAAAAATAAACAACATAGGATTCTTTTTCACAGTTTCTGAAAATGAGTGTTCTTTGCTGATGCTATAAAATTCAGATACATGTAAATTAGGCATTAGAGACAAATAACATATCCTTACCTGTTAGGATTGAAGTTAAGTATACAGTGTATGTTTACAACTGAATTAAAATACAGAAACAATGAAAAGAAAGGTTATTTTTTTTCCCCTGTGAAGGTTATGTAAATTCCTTTTATGTGAAACAGGTTAAATGTCTTCTAATATAAATTCGTATTTCAACAAATAGTGCTCTTTAAGTAGAGTACAGTCTGTACTCTGGGGATCATTTCCTTTCCCATGTTACTTTCTAAATGAACTAAACCCACCACTCAAGGAGTTTGATACAATCAAAAAACAATTTGCCACATTACTCTTTCCATAAATTCTCAACTTCTCTTGCTTTGTGATGTTGTAAGGAATATAAACATTGAAGAGTCATACATTTTTATTACATGTTACTATTAATACATTAGATGTTCCAAAAAGATGCTGAGATATAGTGTCTTTATTGGAGAAGCTTATTTCATGGTTAAAAATATCAGAAGTAATCATTCTAAATCTCTTGGGTAGTTACGTCATCGTCAGCATGAGTCTTCCATTTCGACATCCATATTAGCCAGGTGTACCTCATCTTTCTAACACTACAGAAACATGGGAAAGAGTGCTAACAGGGAACACTCATTTCTTTGGAGGTAAAAAAGCTGCAAACATTATGCAAGATTTCCAGGCACGGTGTGTCACATGGAAGTTAGTTACAAAGCACTGAGCTAGAAAGAGCCCAATGGCATCCCTAGCTCAATGCCGTGGGACCAGCTGAAACTCCCTCTTTGTGCCATTAATTACCTCCACTTGTCAAAACCTAAAATCCCCAACAGCTGCGCCATGTTGCTCACCTCTGGTGATACTGTTTGGAGTTCCCACTCAAGGATGTTCTCAGGTTAACTGGGGTTTGGAAAGATGCCATCATGGTCTCTGCACTATGGCAAATGCTACATATTTCTAGTGTACGATTTTAAAAATTGTCTAGGAAAATGTTTACTGTATTTGAGTCAAATGTCTTAACAGACTTAATTGTTTTTAGTTTCAGAGGGACTGTGATGTGCATGACTATTGTATGAATGTAGCAAGATTACTGCTTTGTGCAAAGAATATTGAAGTCTGATCGAATGATGTAACAAATATCCAAAAAGGGTAAATATCAAGGTAACATATATGTTCATGAAAATAATAACAAACTAAAAGGGATTAACTTCTTAAAAGGAGAATATAGGGACTTAAAAAGATTATGGTATAAATGATTAGCAAGTCATTACATTTAAACTGATCACATATTTCTTAAAGGTTTATTTATTTATGAATACAGAACTGGGGTACAGGCCGGAGGTGCAGGGGGTAAGAGGATTCACCAGAGACACAGTGGGGAGCAGAACAAGCAGATCAGCTTGACAAAGTAAACTGCTGACGGGAGCAGTGGGCAAGCCAGGAGTGGTCTGCCACACCATGTCAATCACCTTGTCAGGGGCCAGGGATCGAACTGGCACTGAAGCAGCTGCAGCTAGCTTGCAGTGCTGCGCTTTAACCTGCTGTGCCATCAGGGAGGGCCCAGATCACACTATTTTTTAAGGAACACTTTTCTCAGGGCTGCAATCACATCCTTGTTCCGAAGGCTGTAGATCAAGGGGTTAAACATTGGTGTCAGCACAGTGTAGAAAAGAGAGAGCAGTTTGTCATTTGCTGCAGAATGACTAGTTTTGGGTTTGAAGTAGGTGATGCAAGCAGATCCAAAAAACAAAATCACAACTATGAGATGGGAAGAGCAGGTGGAGAAGGCTTTGGTCCGTCCGCTGGCTGTTGGCAACCTCAGGATGGTGGAGATGATTTTGGCATAAGAGAAAAGTATCAAAGTGAAAGGGATGGCAACGAACAATGTCGAAGCTGCAAAGAGGGCCTTCTCGGGTACTGAGGTGTCCCCGCAGGCCAGCTTGATCAAAGGAGGGATATCACAGAAGAAGTGGTTGATTTGGTTGGAGTTACAGAAATGCAGAGAGAAGATAAGGCTTGTTTGTCCAATCTGCAGGGGGATTCCCGTGACCCAGGCACCCACAACCAGCTGGACACAGAACTTGTGGTTCATGACCAGAGGGTAGTGCAGGGGGTTACAGATGGCCACGTAGCGGTCATAGGACATCACGGCCAGCAGGAAGCACTCAGCGGCTCCCAGAGTAATGAAGACACAATTTTGTGTAGCACATGCCAGTATAGAAATGGTTCTATCCTGAGTCCACAGGTTCTTCAGAATCCTAGGGACAGTGACAGACACAAAACAGATTTCTAATGAGGAAAAGTTGGACAAGAAAAAATACATGGGTTTGTGCAGCGCAGAGTCAAGCCTGGTTACTATGATGATGAGGCTGTTTCCAATCAAAATGATCATGTAAACAATGAAGAACAGGGCAAATAGTAACCCTTGGACATTTGGAAGATCAGAAAACCCCAAGAATACAAACTGAGTCACCGTGGAAACGTTGTCTTCTGCTTCAATCTCGTTATATTTCATCTGTATGGATGATTAATCAGAAGCACACATTAGTTAACTTTCCTGGCTTTGTTTTCTTATTTCAAATCTGTGGATGCTGTCTCTTCCAAACTTTCAGTTCCTTATAATAAAATACCTGTGTCTAGTGACTAGCACATGTCATTTTCATCAAAAGTATCTTAAAAATAAATTAAAATAAATGAGGACCCCTTCCTCTTTGCTGCTGTTAACATATTTCTTTGTTTTAATGATGTGGTTGTGACTTTGCCACTCATGTGAAGACTCAAAAAGGAAAGTATGAATTTTATTCAATTATACAAATGTTCCATTCTCCTCCTTGACATGTTCCCCTCAATTCTCAGTTCTATTATTTGTGATTTGAAATTAAATCTATTACAAATTGCTATAATTTATAATTCAGCTAAAATAATGTTAGGGGTGAAAATAATTGATTTTTTAAAGATTTATTTATTTATTCATACAGAACTGGGGTACAAGCCAGAGATGCGGAGGGTGAGAGGTTTCACCAGAGAGAGTGGGGAGCAGAACAGGCAGATCACTAAGTACACTGCTGAGGGGAGCCGCGGGCGGGTCAGGAGAGGTCTGCCGGGCCATGTGGTCAACTCCGGGGCAGGCAGGGATCGAAATCATGCTGAAGTGGCTTGAGCTTCTTAGTGCCATGCTTTAACCCCTGCGCCACCAGGGAGGGCCGAAATAATTGATTTTTTAATTGACTACCTTCTCGTGGCATTCTAGTTTACCTTTGACAATGTACAACTTTATTTTACTATAAAATATTTGATTAGTGACCACTAAATGTTATGGGATGCAATTTTATATTTAACCTGTGTATATAAATATTTATGCACATAAAGTTTATTCTGAATTTGTAGTAGAGAGTAAAAAAAAAAATATGTAATTTAAACTTCCTGTGTATGAATGTGCAAACTGAGTCAGGTTTTTCTATGACTGAGGAATGAATCATGGATTAATTTATTTTGTATCTTCAATATTTTGACTACAGTTCAAATTCCAGCATTCCTTCAAATTTGTCCCATAACTAAACAATTCTCTTATTAAAAACTTGACTCTAGGGGCCCTCCCTGGTGGCACAGAGGGTTAAAGCACAGCACTGAGAATCTAAAGCTGCTTCCGCATGAGTTCGATTCCCGCCTGCCCGGGAGGTGACCACATGGCGTGGCAGACCTCTCCTGACCTGCCCGCTGCTCCCCTCAGCAGTGTACTTCGTCGATCTGCCTGTTCTGCTCCCCACTCTGTCTCTGGTGAATCCTCTCACCCTCTGCATCTCTGGCCTGTACCCCAGTTCTGTATGAATAAATAAATAATCTTAAAAAAAAAAAAAAAAAAACTTGACTCTAGGGAATATAAAAATGCCGTAACAGATTCTCTAAATTGGTCCAGAAGTAGTCTTAAAAGATTACATAATATTAAGATGATTACATATGTATAGGGCAATAAAACATGCCATTGTGCACTATACAATCCTACACCTCTTTAAATATACTTGTTTATTTAATTCAATGTAAGTTTTGATTCTTAGATAGTGATTGAAATTGTTGAACGATTGAATTTTTCTAGACCTTCCTCTGCCTTCTGCCCACATTTAAGGTGCTAATCATTGCCCTGAAAATGCCATTCTCTGTATTCTCTTTAAAGGATTAACCCTCTGCGCTCCATGTCTCTCCTTTCCTACATCAACCCCTTCATTTCAGGGGAGAAGTACATTTGAAGGGCAAACTGTTAACAACAGTGCTGGAAAACAGTAGCAAGATAATCCCAACAACATAATTTACTCAAAAATATGCCTACTGAAATAATTTTTCCTCCCCATTTTATTTGCAAAATAGGCCACCCTTTCATAAACATAAAAAGGGATGCTTAATTGTAACCATTTGGAGAATAATACTCTCATGATTACCAAATTATGTATCTACAAAACAAAATATCACCGAGGAAATATTTTCCTCATATCCTACAACGCAGCTGAAGGTTTTTCTGTGAAACTATAGATGCTTCTATTTATAAAACTCTAAAACAAAAAAAGCACTATTTAATTTAGCTAAATGTAGTCATCTTGTGTGTTAGTCAATATTTCTTTTCTATATCTCTGATCTTATGGTAGTAATAATGACTTTCTGTGATATGGAGAGTTTGGTACAAATTAAATCAACTGTATTAATTCAGTGTTTACAGTGTTCATCTTCAGAACAGTTTTATGAAATCAAGATCAAGATAAAATTAAAGATCAGAAAGTGGTGATGCAATGCAGATGGCTTTTCCCATTAAATCACAAAAGAAAAAATGAAAACTGTAATCTGGCTAGTATTCATTTGACATAGAATTTATCCCTGGAAAAGAAATCATTTTATTACTAGTAGTTAAACTAGTAAAATAAATCAGTTTCAGTAAAGTCTGTTATTATCGGTTCATGTATTGTATGTGAATTTTTGTGAAATATGATCTCCAGATTTAATACACACATAATGTTATTTGCATACTTACAGGTAGTGATCAATTCATAGATGTTTATATCTAAGATTAAAATATTTTGATTATGACAATAATGACACTAATATTTGAATTATTTGTCTATTATATTACAAATAACTTTGCATTTCTCAAAACATGCTCAGCATTTATGATAAAAAGTGTAACTGCTGCCTAAACTAAAGAATTTGACTTTAAATATCAGCTATATGCACAAACTGCAGAAATATTCATTTAATTAATATACAAGTGACTATTTTTTACTTAAAAATACTTTTATATGCAAAAATAAATCTTATGTATAACCTTATCATTATAAATGAAATACTTACCTTTATAATTGTGTTTAAAAGCACGGAATGATAAATCCAAAGTCAAGTACTTTATTTTTATTACTACAGAGGTAAACCATCTAATGTATTCTTCAATTCCTCACTCATGTCCTTTAAGTTAGGACATGCTTTTTACCCTGGGGAATCAGCTTTTCCCCATGCCACTTTCTAAATGAACAGAACCATCCTTCCTGCCAAGAAGTTTGGTAAAATATTCAGAAACATTTGGTCTCCAAAAATGGAAATGTGTAAAGAATACACAAGGGAGTCTCAAAACTATAGTGATGGGTGGGGGGACAATTTAAGTAGCAAATATACTCAGGATTTGATAGTGTTTTGGCAAAGAAGATGTACAGACATGGAATAATCACTGAAAAATAATCACCGCTACTCAGAACAAATGTGATTACGCTATAATAATGGTGGCTACAATTAAAATAAAATCACAAAATGACACAACTCTACATAGGTAAATAAATATATACACATTAATTAGTGACAATTTGAAGGTATAGAAGTGATTTTTATCAGTTCTCAATTTATATCCAGCTTATTTTATAAATACAATCTCATTAAGTAGAAGAGCCCTTAAAATCTTATAAAATAGCAGTTAGTTATCTAATTTTTAGAAACCTTATTGGTTAATTATCAAAGAAAACCCACTATGTGATTCAGCTTAGTTTAGCCACTTTTTATTTATTCCAGGCCTTCATAATTTTTGTACTGATTTTCCCATGGAAATAATGATTTTCTTTGAGTTGGAAATTACACGTCAGTTACACATTTTACTATTGCAATGTATTTCTTAAGAGCAAATTTATAAAATAGAACTGGAAATTGGAAATAAAATCCACACATTAGTGAAAGAAGTTTAGAAGACTTTTTCCTCTAAAAGTAATCAGACACAAATGTAAAAACCTAATCTTTAAAGCCCTGGTTTAATGCAAGCAATATATTTAAATAGACAGTTTCATCAAATAAATGCCAAAACTTAGGTTTATGATGGCAATTTTTGGTATGTTGACCCCTTGTATTACAAGGAACTTTTGTATTTTCTTTCCATGATACAGTAATGAAAATTGGAAAAGCACAGAAGCTATCTGAATTAGTGTTTTGAAATTAACTTCAAAATTAATCATTCTAAGTCTCTTGGATAGTTACGTCATCTTCAGTATGAGTCTTCCATTTTTACATCCTTATTAGCCAGATGCACCTCATCTTTCTAAGACTACAGAAACTTGGGAAAGAGCAGTAAAGGGGAACACTCATTTCTTTGTAGGTGAAAAAGCTGCAAACATTATACAAGATTTCAAGGCACAATGTGTCACATCGAATTTAGTTACAAAGCACTGAACTAGAAGTGTGTGATGGCTTTATAATGCAATGCCATGAAGCCTGCTGAAACTTACTTTTTGTGCCATTAATTACCTCCAGTGGTCAAAACCTAAAACCCCCTTAGTTACTGCTTGGAGTTCCCACTTAACGACGTTCTCCAGTTTACAGTGGTTACTCTCAATCCAGTGATTACAAAACAAAATAAGATTTTTGTAAATAGACCTCAAACACACATACATATACCCTCCCAAATTACGGTGGAGGAGAATATTACCTCTAAGAAAATCAGGAATAGATTTACACCTGCATAAAGATGAAAGAATAAAGAAGCGGTAAAGCAGATCTTAGACGCATTATGGCCATGCACGGAAATATGTCACCTTGCAGAGTTTTATATTTCTTCATCAATTTTGAGCTTTTTTATTTTGTTTTAATTCTAGTAAATAAAATACATGTGAGGCATAATCTCATTTTATTTTAATTTGCTTTATAACAATGATTGGTGATGAGGAACATCTTTCATCTGATTATTTGGTATCTGTATATCCCCTTGAATTTCTTCCATCACTGTCCTATACTTTTCAGTATAAAGTCCTCCATGACCTGGTCAGATTTATTCCCAGGTATTTTATTCTTTTTGATGTTGTCATCATAGTATGGTTTTCATTATATCGCTTTCTAGTTTATTGTTATATGTAGAAATGCAACAAGATTTTTGCATATTAATGTGTAATTTGAAGCATTAGTGTATTTGTTTACTACTTCTGAAGGTTCTTTGGTAGCTTCTTAAGGATGCAAATGGTTTGGTGAAGACAATGCGGGTATAGAACAGGAGACAACTTCACC